CAGCCTGGGTGATAGAGTGAGACCCTGTTTCAAAAACAAAACAAAACAAAAACCAGTGTGGTACTAGCATAAAGACTAGCACATAGACAAGTGGAATAGACCAGAAATAAATCTTTGATATATGTCAAATGATTCTCAAAAAGGATGCCAAGACTGTTCAGTGGAGAAAGGACAGTTTTCTCAATAAACTGTGTTGGGAAAACTAGATCTCCACTTGCAACAGAATGGAGTTAGGCCCTTACCTTATACTATACACAAAAATGAACTCAAAGTAGATTAAAGACCTAAATATAAGAGCTAAAACTATAAAACTCTTAAAGGGAAACATAGGAAAAAAGTTTCATAGCATTGTATTTGGCAGTGATTTCTCGTATATCACACCAAAAGCACAGGCAACAAAATAAGAAATGAATAAAATTGTATTTCACCAAAATTTAAAAACTTTGTGTATCAAAGGACATTATCAACAGAATGAAAAGGCAAGCCACAAAATGGGAGAAAGTATGTGTAAGTTATATATCAGATAAGGAATTAATATCCAGAATATATAAAGAATTCCTACAACTAAACAACAGAAAAGACAAACATTCCAATTAAAAATGGACAAAGGACTTGAATAATAGACATTTCTCCAAAGAAGATATACAGGTGGCCAATAAGCACATGAAAAGATATTCAACATAACCAATCACTAGTGAACTGCAGCTCAAAAGCACAGTGAAATACCACTGCACACCCGGTAGGAAGACTGTTACCAAAACAAAACAAATCACCAGAAAACACCAAGCATTGGCCAGGATGTGGAGAAATTGGAACCCTTATGCACTACCGGTGGGAATGGAAAATAGTGCAGCCGTTATGCAAAAGAGTGTGGGGGTTCCTCAGAAAATAAAAACTTAAATTATCATATAATCCAGCAATGTCACATACAGGCATATACGCCAAAGAACTGAAAGCAGGACTCAAAGAATATTTGTATATTCATGTTCATAGCAGCATTAGTCATAATAGCCCAGTGGTGGAAGCAACACAAATGCCCATTAATGGATGAATGGATAAACAATATGTGTATATGCACACAATGGAATATTAATTAGCCTTAAACAGAAAGGAAATTCTGACTCTACAATATGAATGAACCATGAGGACATGCTACGTGAAATAAAGCAGACACAGAAAAACATAAGTCCACTTATATGAGATACGTAGTGTAAACTCACAGAAACAGAAAATAGAATAGTAGTTGCCAGGGTCTGGGAGGAGGGGAGAATAGGCGGCTATTGTTTAACGGGCATGCAGTTTCATTTTGGGAACATGAAAAAAGTTCTGGAGATAGATGATGGTAGTTGAACTGCACACTTAAAAATGACTAACATGTCTGTTGGGGGGAATAGCAGGGGGTGCGGAGTTGGGGAGAGATAGCAGGGGGAGAAGTGCCAGATATAGGTGAAGAGGAGGAAGGTAGCAAATCACACTGCCACATGTGTACCTATGCAACTATCTTGCATGTTCTTCACATGTACCCCAAAACCTAAAATGCAATTAAAAAAACGGAAAAAAAGAAAAAAAAATGACCAACATGGTGAATTTATCTTTGTGTGTGTGGTGTGCATATTTTACTATAACAAAAAAAACGTTAGCTGCAAAAGTGTTTTGGGTAGATATGACAGTTGGAGGAAAATGGCAGAGCTGTAAAAATGCTTTAAAATAGTGCATATTTAAGCTTAGGAGAGGCACAGTGGCTCACACCTATAATCCCAGCCTTTTGGGAGGCTGAGGCAGGAGGATTGCTTGAGCCCAAGAGTTCAACAGCAGCCATGGCAACAAAGCAAGAATCTGTCTCTAAAAAATTAAAAAAAAAATATTAGCCGGTCATGATGGTGCATGCCTATAGTCCCAGCTACTTGGAGTGCTGAGGCAGGAGGATTACTTGAGCCCAGGAGGTTGAAGCTGCAGCAAGCCATGAAGGCACCATAAACTTCAGCCTGGAGAACAGAGTGAGACCCTGCCTCAAAAATAAATTAAAATAAAGGAAACTTAGGAGAAAATGAGATATTGCAGAATTTCTCACTTTTGGCAAAATTCACAAAATTGAATGACATTTGGATTATTTTGTGCCAATACTCCATGGCTGACTTGATTCAAAATTTAGATACACAGGGATTTAGCCAATTATCCATTATAATTTTGGAACTCAAGTTTTACATTCATGCTTTGTCTGGAAGCAAAGTAGCCAGCAGTGAAAAAATTTTGTAACTGTCAGCAAGCAAATAAAAATTTGTTATTCAACAATAAGGACCTGTTTTTCTTCCCCCTCTCTCTATTCTGCAAAGTGTTAAAAGTCCTAGACCAGAAGCAGTTTTCTGATCACAAAAGAAATAAGTAATTTGTAGCAGGTGGTTCTAATTGTGCCCATCAAACCTGTCATTCCATTGTGCAGAAGAGTGGAAAATCAATTAGCCACTACAAGCTTGGGTACTGAAGAGTGACAGGAGTGTCTTAACTCAAACTGGAAATCAGTAATGGAAGAAAATGATTACCATGGCCGCTAGTGGACACTGCTGGATCTGAGAGACTTTCCGTCTACTGCCCAACCTTCTCGGACAAAAGATGCTGTTGGAGAAAATTCCAATGTGTACTGTCAGTCAAAAGCAGTACAGTGTATACCCTTCCTTGTTTCTTCCCTGATGGGGTCTGAATGTTTAAAAATCAAGAGCACTGGCTCTTCAACTCACGAGTCCTGTGTGGGAGTTACTGCTTTGAATGGAAACATGTTTTGGGGGTAGCATTAGTATATGTTAACTGACTTGGACAGATGCCACATCCCTGCTCACATGCACTCCCTCAGGGCTTGGTTGGTGACAGGCCTAGGAGGCCAAGACTGGGATAAAAACAAACTTCCCAATGCCACAGTTCTGCTTTAGAGTTGGAGCAGTTTCTGGCTACTCAGTTGCTGGCTACTGAGTACAGTTTACCAGAGAAAACATTTAAAGTATTCACAACATAGTCTTGTATCCGGTTTTGGGGAAAATAAAATGGATTTTTTCCCAGATACTGTCTATCATTTGTATGAGGTCCCCAAAGGGCTCACAGAATATGAAGCATTTGTTCTAACACATTTCTGCCTTAGCCTGGGTCATTTTGGCACTTTGGGTTATCTGTAATGTCACTGTGAGTTTATCCATTTATCGTGTTATTCTACCTTCTTTACTTATTTCTTGGGTCAACGTTCTATCTCTTCAGCTGCTGGTTTTCAGAAAGCACTGGACAATGATACCATGCCTTTTATTTCTTGTGTATGGCATGTCAGAGTTTACTCTAGGGCCTCTCATAAAATAGGTATCCAATAAATAATTATTTAACCAACTCTTGGCTCTTAATTTTTTATGTGGCCAGATAACATATGAAAAGTAATTAACACAGTGCCAGGTATGTAACAGGCACTCAATAAACATTAAACAAAAAAAGAAAACAGACTAAACATAAAAAGCAGGTGAAACAATTAGACTTATTATTTTTTGGTAAAAGAACATGATTACATTGTAATGAACAAAAGAGCATACAGCTTCATTGGTCAGGCTCCTGTAAAGTTTAATTTTGACTCACTGATTGGGGGACTTCCAACCCAAGGTGCTCTTGGAACCTTTTGGCTGAGTTAATAAATTGATGAAGGCTTTCTTCTGCCTGTTAGCTAAAGCTGGGAGGAGAAAGGTAGAGCTAAAAACAATGCTGAGATACATTAAAGTTAGGGCTATATTCTGACAAGATGATCTCCTGAAAGTAAAATTTTTGCCAGGTGATTTAGTCTGCCAAATGCTATCAATCCATTCATGTGTGTGTGTGTGTGCGCACGTGCGTTTGTGTGTGTATGTATTCTTGTGCATTGTTTGGAACAAAAGCTGGGAAGGAAGTCAAGGAAGTAAGAGGGTAAGAGGAGGAAGGACATACTGGGAGCTTTGGATGTTGACTTCTGATGTGGGAAGAGCAGTGAAATCATACAGGAATTCCTCTATGAATTAGACTTACATAGGAAGGATCTCTAGGCAAAACCAGTTGTCCTATTTCCTGATATTCAGTGAATATTTTTAAAGGCAATGGTCCAGGCAAATAAGCAAATGATTTGCTTTGCAGTTGTACTTTCCTGTGGCACCACTGGAGTTCTACCCTGCTTCTGTCTTCCCCAGGAAGACTTGGTCTCCCAGGTGTCCCAGCCCTCACTGCCCTCCTGGCATTTATAGTGATATGAGATCACCTTCGCGGTTGGTGCTTTTATCCCCTACAAATATTATGCATCGGTAGCATGCTGCAGATTATATGGAGTGTAAAAAGAGTACAGTCTCTGTGCCAGCATCAGGAAGATATATGTGCACAGAGAAGTCTCAATCTAAATTAAACAGACAAAGTGCTGGTGAGGCATTTGAATATCCTCCACATTTTATTGTTTCTTTTCTGCTAAAAAAGACCCCATATAACTCACATACATTACATTTAAAAAAGACTTGTTAAATAATGTGTTTTGGCTGGGCATGGTGGCTCATGTCTGTAATCCCTGCAATTTGGGAGGCTGAGGCAGGTGGATCACTTGAGGTCAGGAGTTCGAGACCAGCCTGACCAACATAGTGAAACCCCATCTCTACTAAAAATACAAAAATTAGCAGGGCGTGGTGGCAGGTGCCTGTAATCCCAGCTACTCAGGAAGCTGAGGCAGAAAAATTGCTTGAACACAGAAGGCAGAAAAAATCTAAAAACAGCTGAATATATTAGAAAAGCTGGATAATTAACAAATGTTTACGGAAAGTAAAAGTCACCTTAAATTCTATTATTTATTACTCAAAATCAATTCTGGAATAACATATTATAATTTAAATTAATCTCATTTAAATAATTTAATCCTTTGATGTATAGCATGATTCAGATTTTGATGAGTTATGATTGTAGCCAAATGTTATCATTCCACATCAAAGCAGCCTTGTTTCTGTTTAAAAAAATTTTTACTTTACCTGTTTGTAATGGTTACAAGTGCAGGAGGACAGTAATAACCACTGGAAGCTTCGTCAAAGCTTCGAAGGACTGTGTCAATTTTATAACAGAAGCCACCATGTCTCTCCCATCCCTTAAAAACATAAAAGGGAAATTAAGGACACATCCTGATTTAGTTAAAGAAATCTTTTTGCATACTCTTTTACCACTTACATGACTTTCTTCTCTTACTCATTTAAAACTCATTGAATTTTTGTCTTGATATTTTTATATTTATTCTATCTGGTAATACCATTAACTATAGCCACTTCCACATTTATTTATTATCTTAAAACCTAAATTTTAAAATTAACTAAAAACCTTAAAACATAAAACTTAAAAGCAAAAGCAAATGAAAATAAAAAGGCACTCATTCAAGATCTCTCTCTCTCTCTCTCTCTCTGTGTGTGTGTGTGTGTCTGGCTTACAGAATTTCATATAAGTGGCCCTGACAGGAGGGTAGAAATTAAGTTTTGGCTCTGGAGTCAGAATGCATGGGTTTGAATTCTGGCTCCACTACTGTGCAACCTTGTTTAATATGTTAGTTTTTTCATCTATACAATTTGAGGATAATAGTAGTATTTATGGGGCTGTTCTGAGAATCAGAGAAGGACAATACAAACAGAGATTTTAGAATTGAACAGAGGGCAAAGAGAAAATGAACAAAGAGAATGTATCTAGATAATATTATAGCTTTTTTTCAACTTTCATACTGATTATTTCATGTTACCCCACTGAGATTCATTGAGATTAGGAACTTGGATAAAGTCAAACGAGTGGATCAGCGGGGCCTGAAACCCTATTCTGGCACAGTCCAGGATGGTCTTGGTTGGAGCACAATGCTTCCAAATACAGAATGACCAATATTTGTGTTTTTTTCTTTTCTCTTTGGTAGAGATTATTCCTAAATTAACTGACTGGCCTTTTAGAGAGGAAGAAAGTAAGCTTTGGCACTCAGACAAAAATGACAAACATGTAGGTCTATGGCTTAGCCCTGGGAACAATGAAGGGTGGCGCTATTCTCTGACATCATGCAGTACAGTCTATGGCCATACCACTCTGAACATGCCCAATCTCATCTGAAATCATACAGTACAGAAGACGTACATTCATTAGTCTTCTATATTTAAACTGAGCTATTTTAGTTCTTTTTTCCCAATGTTATTAAATCACATCATTTATATCTATTTTAATTTATTCACCAGTTTTAAAACACTTTTTATTGTATGCCATGCCAATATTTGCCAGCTTTTGATTAGTTATAAAATGATTTCTCATAAATTTCTTGGAAAAGATTTAGGTTTTGCAGTAAATTAAAGAAAACCTTAATTTAGAAATCACCTATGTTAGTTCAAACATATCATTAACTGAGGTGTGAAGCACAGGAGCTCCCACATCCAGCCATCTAGGATCTGCTCTGAACTCACTCCTTTCACTGCTATTCCCAGTCTCTGAGTAACTGACAGCTCCATACAGCTCCTTCATGAATCTCTCCAGGGTAGAAGCAGGGATATTAGACTGCTCCTGTACTTGGAAGGACAGAGAGAGGGAGGCTGGCAACTTGACTTTTCTGACAATGTATTTCTTCATTAGCATTTTTAGATCATAGCCTGCTTAGCAAAACAAATTTGAAAAATCCAATAACCGAACAGGCTCAAGAAAAGGGAGGGAAAAAAAGATGCAGCATAGAATAATTAGAAAAACAGACTTGTTACTTCAAGGCTTTGTCCACACAATGCATGTGGGAAGGATAATTGATTATATCAGTTAACTCTTTGTATGCTAGGTGCCACTTCATTTTTAAATGAAAGGATGGTGGTGACAAAACTGAAGGAATTGCTCATGTTGTCCAATTCCCGAAAAGGTGACTCAGAAGGAAAAACAAATCACCTTTTCTTTTTTTTTTTTTGCTTTGAAATTATCGAGATTGAATTTACAAAATGATTTTTTCAGTGTGGGCTGTTTAGAGAATTGCATTGAAGCAACTTTCTAAAAAACAGAAAACTTTCAAAACCATATTCACAGACTGATGCATAATAAAATTAATGGGAATTTCCTCACAAAGCTGGAGAACTGGCTCTGAACTCAGAAACTTTAAACACCGGTAATGCTGGCTGGAAAAGGGAAGCAGTGAACAAAAGTTTGAATAGAACATCAGTTCTGTTGCTGCAGTGTAAGAAGTTAATTGTCCTTTCAACAAAAATAAAACACATTGTTTCCCAAAAAGCCACAGTAAGACAAATGCCCCCACCCTTGCCCCTGCCCCGTCTTCAATATTTCAGATAAGGCAGAGATTAATCAGAGATCAGCTATAACTAATCCAGAAATTGTAATCATTGGATAAAATGGTGGCATGTCAGCTATGGCACATCTATTATCCAGCTAGAGTATGACGAGTAGTTCGCATGTTTACACATTGATTTATGAATAAAATGAAGATTCTAGAGGGATGGGTCATTGTTCAATGATAACACAAATAATTGGATCAGAAGAGAAAATAATTAAAGCAGAGTTGCATAAAAACCAGGTCTGGAAAACTGTTGAGACTGATACAGCATAGTTTACTCTGAGGCAAAGAATCACAGTTGTTTTCTGATATCTCACTTGAAAGCTAGAAAAACCATAGGTCAGGCACAGTGGCTCAGGCCTGTAATTCCAATACTTTGGGAGGCCCAAGCAGGCAGATCACTTGAGGTCAGGAGTTTGAGACCAGTCTGGCCAACATGGCAAAATCCTGTCTCTACTAAAAATACAAAAATTAGCCAGGCAGAGTGGTGCCTGTAATCCCAGCTACTTGGGAGGCTGAGGCATGAGAATTGCTAGAGCCTGGGAGGTGGATGTTGCAGTGAGCTGGGATGGCACCACTGCACTCTCCAGCCTGGGTGATGGAGCAAGACAAGAAAGAAAGAAAGAAAGAAAGAAAGAAAGAAAGAAAGAAAGAAAGAAAGAAAGAAAGGAAGGAAGGAAAGAAAGAAAACCAAGTGTGAGACAGGGCATCACACATCACAGGATAGTCACTGTACAGATGACTATCAGGATCATTTACATTTTTAATCTCAAAAGAGATTATCAGGATTTATCAGGATCATTTACATTTTTAATCTCAAAAGAAAAGTAATACTATGTAGAAGATCAAAAGATAATCAGGACTAAGAAAAAGAGGGAGGGAAAGAAAGAGGAGAGAGAGAGAAAAAAGAGAAAGAGAGACAGAGACAGAGAGGGATAGGAGAAACATGGATAAATTCACTTTAAGTTGATGGTGGAATTGATATTCTAGCTATGAAGTCCCCGTACCTACACTGCAATGTTAACAGCACTCACCTCTTGACATCCTGATTCAGCATCAGAGAGTACCTTGCCTGCTTTCTTACAAATATAAAGCAGTGTTTCTTCACAATTTTTGACTTTCCAGTGTCCCTCCTAAGAAGAAAAATGTTACCAGAGAATGAATGTACTCTGTGCTGGTGCTGATGGGCAATACCAATTCTTAGAAATAAAAATATGATAATAATGTGTTCCCACATGGGATAATGTTTCAGACAGCTCCCCGCTTTGTCACGGAAAGAGTTAACACTTTGTCTAGGGATGGGAGGCCCCTCTGTCCAGCACGAGTTTCAAGATGTGCAATCTGTAACTGAGTAGGCAAGAGAGAGGGTGCAACTAATAATAACTGGTGCTTCTTGATTGCTGCCACGAGTTAGGTTTCATGCAGGGTGATTTTCATATATTATCTCAACGTTCCAGGGAGGCAGAATTATTATTCTCATTTTAAAGGTTAGAGTTAGCATTTGACATGGTCCTAGAGTCAGTAAAAATTGGAGCTAGGATTGATACCAAGGCCAGCCTGGCTTTTCATTAAGCTGTTCTCAATTTTTCTAGGAAAAGATGGGATGGAGCCATGATTCTCAATCTCGAGTATATTCCAGAAGCACCTGGAGGGCTAATTGAAATGTAGATGACTGGCCGCATGACCAGTGTCTCATTCGGTAGCTCTGGTGGGACCTGAGAATCAGCATTCCTAAGAAGTTTTCAGGCCATGTTAAAGCTGCTGGTCTGGGGGTCACACTCTGAGAACCACTGGGATGAAGCCATCCCCTTGACCAAGTGAGAGTGCTGATACCCCTCTTCAACCACTTTTAAGGGTTGCATTAAATGCTTTGCTGCTTTCATGTATATACCCGATGCTGAGGAAATTCCTACAAGCTGCGATGAAACATCCTACATAATATTGGCATAACTGAAATTAATGTCAACCTTCAATGATTCTTTCATCAGGAATTCTTCACAGCACCACCCCATTTCCTCTTTATATGCTAGCAGATAACTTCATGTCTTTCTCTCATTCTATCTAAGGTTTCTTTCAGATCTTTCATTCATAATAATATAATAACTGCTAACAGATTAAAATTTTATCCTCCCGTAGGATTTTTTAATAACACAAAGCAGAACCTTAGGCTAAAATTACACAATTGAAATTCTGGTGGTATTTCATGCATCCAGAATTTTAGGGGAATGTGGAGCCCTTCCATGACCATCAGAAAAATACAACGTCCAGGGCTGACTCCTTCATTTGTAAGAGGAGTCCTGCATTGCTCTCCATGGAGTCTTCCATAGCGTCAGGCATACTGCAGTTAAGAACTGTTAGATGAATGGAAGAACAAATGAATTGTTTCCTAGGCTCTCGTATTCAAATTTTTGTCAACTGTGATTTGGTAACTTGTTCATTATAAGGATTATATTCATACTGAGTTCTACTCCATGTCAATAAATGTTAATTTTTACACATCTACTATTTAAGGAGCTTCTGAGCTGCCAAAACAGGGGCCACAAAGTATTACACTTCCAGCAGCATTGTGCTGACATATCTGATACTATTAATACCTATCCTCAATCTCTTAAAAAAAAATCCCCATGCCTGTCAATAAGAAATGATCACCTAAATTATATCAAAACTAATGAACCAATAAATCAGCAGATACTGTAGAACAAACTGTGGTAGGCCAGGCACGGCGGCTCACACCAGCAATCATAACACTTTGGGAGGTTAAGGAAGGTAGAGTCTGGGAGTCTGAGACCAGCAGGGGCAACATGAAACCCCATCTCTGCTAAAAATACAAAAATTAGCCAGACATGGTGGTAGAGGCCTGTAATCCCAGCTACTGGGAGGCTGAGGCATGAGAATTGCTTGAACCTGGGAGGCAGAGGTTGCAGTGAGCTGAGATCACACCACTGCACTCCAGCCTGGGTGACAGTGAGACTCTGTCTCAGAAGCAAACAAGCAAAACACTGTGGTGGATTTCAGCAGAGCTAGACCCAGACAAACGTTTAGAGGTATTATTTCTTCTCTTCCTATGAGGCTGAGAAACACCACCTTAGCTTGTAAAATTGTTACTGCACTGTACAATTGTAATTTGTCTGTGCCAGCATTAAAAGATGAAACCATGAAACATGTCACAAAAGTTAAGTGCTTAGAAAATGCTCCTGTTTGGCTGGCATAATTACTTTGTCAAGCCACGTCAGTAACATTTAATAAACTGCCTCCTGGGGGATCTTGACAGAGTATCCTGGTGGTTAGAAAGAATAAGGATATCTACCAAGTCCCAACAACCTCCTGCATTCAGAAGCTATCTTGATCAAAGGGATTAAGCCTGTTTTAGACATAATAAACTGTTCAAATGGCTTGGGATTAAACTAATTTTGTATAATCAGGTGCTTTAGATAAATGAGAGACTAGAACATAGGGATGAGTGTGATGTTCAGGCCACTGGGACCGCTCCACACATGCGAGGAAAAGAGCAAGATTTTCCACTGATCCACAGTTTCAAAGAGGTTGCACACACTGTTTAAATCCCTTTATGTAAATAAGATAACAGAGCTTAAACACTATGACTCTCCAGAGTAATCTTCCATCCCTTAGTTCTTCCCTTCCTCGTCACGGCAGTAAATGGAACCACCATCCACCAAAGCCATGGTTGCTCAATCCAAAAGCCGAGTTCTTTCTCACCCCCACATCTAACTTAGCAACACCTCCTATTCCCCAAAACACACTTGGATCTGTCTATTTCTCTTCACAGTCACTACCCTAACTCAACTCCAGAGTAGCCTCCAAACTGGCTTTTCTGCTTCCATTTTATCCCTCTCCTAACCATTTTCTGTGCAGCAGCCACGGTTAATTTTGAAATGTAAATCAGATCATGCCCTTTGTTTCCCTGAAGCACTTTAGTGGTTCCTATACCATGGCCTAGAAACCTGGCATTTTAGAATTTCTGCTGCCCATCTCTTATGACCTCCTCACCACTGGTCTCCTTTTTGATCATTCAGCAAGGCAGGTCTTGGTCTGCCTTTGGGTCTTTGCACTTGCTACCCTCTGCATGTTCTGCTTAGAATATCCTCTTCCTTTCTCTTTAAGAGTTTTTTGAAGTCCAAGCTTAAATGTCATCTTTTCAGAAATGCTTTCTGACTGTCCTGTCCTGCCTTAACCCAGACTGTTCACTATCGTGTCACATATTTCCTTGGTGCAATCATTACAACTATAATTACCATGGTTTTTTTTTTCTGTGTGTACTCGTTTACTCCCTAATATGGAAGGCCCATAAGGAGCCAGGACTGTGCCTGTCTAGGTCTCGTCACAACCCAAGGCTCCAGCACAGGTGGCCTTCAGCACAAGATCAGCAAAGTGAACACAGAATAAGTGAATCGACTTACAGACTGTTCTGCTGAGACACACAGCTGGCTTCTATTTGGAAAAATTTTGGGCTCAAGTGTGTGCCAATTAGTAAAGATGACTGAAGAGTCATTAGACCATTCAAAGGAAACTGGAATTTTATTGCTGCTCAAACCAATCCATGTTTCTGATGCATTTTCTGTAAGAGATAAATGTAAATTACTTACGGGTTCCTATTATTTGCAAAGGAGATAACACCCTGGAGTTATTAGCAAAACAGACCGCTTCCCATGTGATTTCTTTATTTCTTTGTGTGATGAAACCTGTTTAAGTCTCGGTATAAAATATCTGTTTAAATGTTTTCCCCTCCCTGCTATGGTTTGAATGTGTGTCCCCTTCAAAATTCAGGTTGAACCTTAATCCCCAGTGTGGCAGTATTGACAGGGGGGCCTTTCAGGGGTGAGTGGGTCATGAAGGTTCTGCCCTGATGAATGGATTAATGAGTTAATGGATTAACTGGTTGTCATGGGAATGGTTCTGGTGGCTTTACAAGAAGAGGAAAAGAGACCTGAGATAGCACACTCAGTCCCCTCTCCATGGGATGCCCTGTGCTACCATGGGACTCTGCAGAGAATCTCCTCCAGCAAGAAGACCCTCTGCAGATGTGGCCCTTTGACCTTGAACTTCCCAGCCTTGATAACTATAGGAAACAAATTTCTTTTCTTTATAAATTACTCAGTTTCTTTGTATTCTATTATAAGCAATAGAAAATGGACTAACACACTCCTATAATATCCAGATCTGCTTGATATAGGCCTTATAAGTGAGACAGAGTATGAGCTAAAGCCAATGCAACAACAAAACCTAAGCAAGTTGGCTTCCTGGGGATCTGGTTTCTGCTACAGCCATGTGTGTATGTTAGGTAGATCTGAAAAGTCTGGTTTTGCTCCTGCCTAGAGAAAGGAAAAATAGGAAGTCCCACTGGATTATGAAAAAGGCATGAAACAAACAAACTTTTAATGATGGTCTAGCTTAAAGATATGTGGTTTTTTTTCCCCAACAGATGTTGTTGAGGATGCAAAAAAAGGAAAACTTATACACTATTGGTAGGAGTGTAAATTAGTACAACCTTTATGGAAAACAGTATGGGGATGAGTCAGGGAACTAAAAATAGAACTACCATTTAATCCAGCAACCTCACTATCAAAAAGTAATTTTTTGATGTAATGATTTTTGTCCCTGTACACATATGTTTATCACAGCATTATTCACAACAGAAAAGATGGAATCATATAGGTATCCATCAGAGGAGGGCTGGATAAAAAAATATGGACACACACACACACACACACACACACACACCATGGAATACTACTCAGCCATAAAAAAAGGATGAAATCATATCTTGTGCACACAGGTATGGCACTTGAGGTGACTCTGCTAAGTGAAATAACTCAGAATGTCAAAAACTACATGCTCTCACTTATAAGTGGGAGCTAAACAATGGAGACAAATGGATATACAGAGTAGGATAATAAACACTGGAGACTCCAAAAGGTGGTAGGTTGAGGCTGAGGGTTAAAAAATTGCCTGTTGAGCACAATGCATGATGAGGCCATGAAAAGGCCAGACTTCACCACTGCAATATATGCATGCAAGAAATAATCACTTCTTAAATCTGTTTTTTAAAGTATGTTTTTTCCTTTTTATTTTTTCTGCCATGGGAAGAAAGGAACAAAACCTCTTAAAGGCATTGAAATGGGGTTGCTGGAAAAGTAATTAAAACTGACACCCTAGGTAGGAAAGGACCCTATGTGGCTTAAAGAGATGTGTAAGTCCCCTTGGTGAGATAAGCGGCCCACAGGGTTCTTTTAATCCCAAATGTGAAGGATTCGGAAAAAATAACAGAGAAGGATGTGTGTTTTTACTCCAAACTAAAAGCTAACAATCGAAAAGGTCATCAAAGTAGACTTTGGAAATTTTTTGTATTTTTAAAAACTGAAAAATGAAATCAGTAATTTCAGTGGTTTTCCAGCAAAAGTTTATGTCAGATTCGTGACACAGTGAGGCGCAGACCAACTTTGATGGACTCAGGCTGGGTGGAAGCCAGCAGCCTGAAACTCCTACACATGGAGAACAGTCTGAACACCACCTCACCAAATAAATTACCCATGTCCACTGGCGAAAATTGTTTAAATCCAATTATTTGCCTTAGGGATTCCCTGCAGTGTGTGGATTACATGTTAACAACACACTACTGCTATCTAGTGGCCATAAAGCTAAATTACAGGTTTAGGTTTTTCATTAGAAGTTTTAGGAAATAAACTTTCCTATTATAAAAATCATCTAATATATGTGGCATATGTGAAGATGTTACAAAGTTTCTGAACATGTATTTTGTAAAAATTCAATAAATTTGAACTACTGAATATCATTTAGAAACTTTGAATATATGTGCCATGAATAGCCACTTTTAAATAGCTTAAATTTCTTTTCAACTCTACTAATAAAAGTAGTTACTACATTATATTTTATACCTCTTAAACCAAAGGCAGTTGGGACTCACCATCTCCAAGGAGGGTTACAAGAAACTCCACTTCCGCTAATGAGGTTATCTCTATTAATGCACTGTTATCAGCCTGGCAAGAATGCAAAGCCTCATGCCAGGTCTTTTCTTCTTTCTGAAGTTTGTAGCAATTACGATTGTAGGGATTCCAGCCAGGCTCACAGTGGGTAGCATAATATTTCCAAGCATCTTTTTCTTTTTAAACCAACAAAAAACAAGGTCATTTTTCACAATTATTTTAACATTACTTATTACAGTTTATGTAAATTGCAATCAGTATGATTACTTTAAAAATGTGAAAAACAGAAATACACAAAATGACATAAATCATGGAATTCTAGATCTTCAGAGTTGAGAAGGGCCTAATCTATGATCTAGATCTAGATCTAGGATCAAATGAACCTCAGTCTTTCATTTTCCAGATGAGCTAGTGAAGGTACAAAGAAGTAAGGAGAGGAGGGATGGCAGCAAGATGGCCGACAGAGACACCTATGTCAGAGGCCTTTGAACAACAGCAAATCCATCTTGTTTGGGGACTGATTAAAATAAGACGGAGACCTACTGAGCAGGATTCCCAGGAGGTCAGGCATTCTAAGTCATAGGATGAGATAAAAAGTCAGCACAAAATACAGGTCACAAAGACCTTGCTGATAAAACAAGCTGCAGTAAAGAAGCCGGTCAAAACTCATCAAAACCAGGATGGTGAGGAAAGTGACCGATGGTCATCTTCACTGCTTATTATGTGCTAATTATAATGTGTTAGCATGCTAAAAGACACTCCCACCACTGCCATGACAGTTTACAAGCCATGACATCATCAGGAAGTTACCCTCTATGCTCTAAAATGGGGAGGAACCCTCAGTTCTGGGACTTGTATGCCCCTTTCCCAAAAAAGTCATGAATAATCTACCCCTTGTTTGGCATATAATCGAGAAAGAACTCTAAGTGTAATCAGCTGAGTAGCCCAAGCTGCTGCTCTCTGCCTATGGAGTAGCCTTTCTTTATTCCTTTACTTTCCTAATAAACTTACTTTTTTCATTTTATGGATTTGCTACAAGTCTTTCTTGGGATCTGGATCAAGACCCCTTTCTGGTAGCACCTGGGGCTCGTCCCTGTCACAGGAACAGCCAAAGTGATGAATAAATGACTACATTTTCACAAAGGCAGCTGAAGAAGAGTGCTAGAGCACATCAAGGGAATTGCAGAAACAACATGGAGCACAGAAACCCTTGCCGCCCACACCACCCACTCCCAAGCCCCCATTAGAAGCAGCTTAGAGCCAGGAAGGACTTCTCCCTGTAAGGAAAGGGCGAGCAAGTGGACCCCAGCAGCCTCCAACTCCATCAGACTGGGGACCCCTGCAGTTCTCACAGGCACTAAGCCCAGTTGAAGGGGATGCCTGGAGTCTACAAGACTATGCTTGCCCCAGAGAAAGTTCTGACGCTGTAACCCTGCCTCTCTGTGGCCTATGGGGCTACTACACTGCACCATCTTGAAAAAGAAACCTCTGCTAGAATGTCATGTTCTGCTCCAGTGGTAACTAGTCACAGCACCCTTCCATCTTTTGGAACCACTGCAACACTTTTACCCCGTGACCCACCATCCCCATGCCAAGCTACTGTGGGGCCTTCACTCTACCTGGTGTGGCCAAGCTGCTACGAGCTGCTCCATCTACCCTTTCTGGTTGTTGCTGTGCCATGCCCCTCAGAGCCAGATCTGGCTCATTACCCTGCCTCCAAAAAAATGGTGCCTTGGCTGCCCAGAGCAGTCATATTCCCAGTGGGTGTACTGAAGTGGCGCCCTGCCTCCCAAGGAATCCCTACCCTGGCTGCCCAGAACAGTCACACCCCTGGCACCTGAACTGAAGTGGCTCCCAAATCCAGGGGAAACAGTGCTTTAGCTGCCCAAAGCAATCATACATTCCAGCACCTAAGCTGAATCAGCCCTATCATGGGAGAATGGGTGCCTTGGCTGAGCTGAGCAGCTGTGCTTCCTGGGGCTTAGCTGATGTGATATCCTGCATCCAAGGGAAACAGCATTGGCAGGGCTGGGACATCCTGCCCTCCAGGTCAAACAGCTATAGCACCCTGCTTTCCTGGAACTGGACTAGTCCCACAAAGCCTGAGCTGCTGAGACACCCTACCTTCCTTGAGAGTGGAGTCATCATTTTGCTGCTCCTTGCCCCCCAGGAAACAAGCCACAGCTACATGCTACCGTTCCTGGGTCCTTGCTGCTACTGAACCTGATCTCACAGAGCCTGAGATACTGCTGTGTCACACCATCCCAGGGTCTGGAGTCACCAATGCCTGATGCTTCATCCCTTAGAGCTTGAATTGCCACTGTGCCGTACTAGTTCTGGTTCCAAAATTACAGCCCTGCTCTGTTCCCTGGAGCCAAACCTCCAGAGTACCCCTTCTTCCTTAGAGGTAAATATATAGTCAGGTTCAGAATACTCAAATACTGTAATGGTGGTCTGTAAATGATTTATATATCTAGTTTAAAGATTAAAGTCAAAATTGTCAAAAATAGGTTGGGTGCAGTGGCTCATGACTGTAATCCCAGCACTTTGGGAGCTGAGGTAAGAGGATTACTTGAACCCAGGAGGTAGAGCTATGATCATGCCATCATATTCCAGCCTGGGTGACAGAGCAAGACCCTATCTCTAAAACATAAATAAATAAGGAAATAAATAAATAACCAAAATTGTAAAACATAACTATAGCTACAATAAATTAAGAAATACATAATATTAAAAGATGTAAGTTGTGTAATCAAAATTTTAACTATTGGGGGTAGGGTAAAAATCTAGAGTGATTGTATGCAACTAAAGTTAAGCTATTATTAGTGCAAAACAGTCCATTATAAGATGTTTTATGTAAGCCATATGATAACCACAAAGCAAACAACAAAACAAAACTATAACAGAGAACTGATAAAGAGAAAGGAATTGAAATTTAGCACACACACAAAATCACCAAATCACAAAGGTAAACAATGAGAGGAAGAAAAAAACCTATACAACAACCAGAAAACAATGAACGAAATGGCAGCAGTGAGTCCTTACCTATCTATAATTACTTTGAATGCAAATTGATGAAATTATCTAATCAAAACACAGAATAGTTGAATGGATGAAAGACTACTAGGGGTCAAAGAGGGAAAATGAGCTGAGGTAGGAAAAAGGATACAAATAGCAGATATGGAGGAAGGACAAGTCTGAAAGTCTACCGTACAGCATGCGGATTATAGTTAATGTGGTGTATTCAGGATTTTTGCTAAACGAGGAGATTATAGTTGCTATTGTCACATTGGGGGAAATGGGTAACTAAGTGAGATGATGGATGTGTTAATTTGTTTCACTATAATAACCATTGTACTATATATGTATCCTATGACATGTTGTATACTTTAAACACACACAGCAAATTTTATTCTAAAAAATAGTAAAAAAGTAAAACAAACATCAACAACAACAAAACCGAAGAAGTAAAGAGTCTTGACAAAGGACATACAATGAAAGCAGAGTGTTGGGGCTAGATATAAAATTTAAAATTTAAATGTAAAACGTGTTCATTTTTGAAAACGTTTTACATTTAGAAGTATTATGGGATACTATTTAAAGTATTCCAAGGATTTTATACATAGTGTATGGGTAAGGCAGATATTTATCCCCAGCTGAAAAGAGCCTAAAACTCTGATGACTTCCTCTAAAATGGGGAAGACAAATAGGTTTCACTTTGAAGATAAGTCTGAGTGTCTGTGGCGTTGCTCTGGACTGATAGGGACTCTGGGTGGAACTTACAGGAACTAAGTGCCATGATGCTTTGGACATTGGAGGCCAGTGGTGATGCATATTGCTGCATTTTGGCTTTCCTTTCTCAGGAGTTTGCCCCCATTCTGATGATGGCATTTTTACCTTATTTTATTAACCACAACTAGGTGCCTCCATTAAGAACTAATTTAGTTAAACTAAATACGATTTCACTGCTATTTGGGAAACAAAACTTTCTTTTAAAATTGTTTCTAGGACTCTGACAGCAATTAGAATCATGGCCAAAGAATGTTAGAACTTTATATATTATTGACTCCAGAGGTTTTCAGCCTAAAAAAACACTCACAGAATTATTTTTAAACATGGAATTTTAAGCTGGATATGGTGGCTCATGCCTGCAATCCCAGCACTTTGGGAGGCCCAGCTGGGCGGATCGCCTGAGGTCAGGTGTTCAAGACCAGCCTGGCCAACGTGGTGAAACCCCAACTCTACTAAAAATACAGATATTAGCTGGGCATGGTGGCAGGTGCCTGTAATCATAACTACTCAGGAGGCTGAGGCATGAGAATCGCTTGAACCTGGGAGGTGGAGGTTGCAGTGAGCCAAGATTGTGCCATTGCACTCCAGCTTGGGTGACAATAGCAAGACAAAACAAAGACAAAAGCAATAACACATGGAATTTTAAAGAGGATCTTCTCTGACTGAAGCAGGGGAAGCACAAAGGTTGAAGCCAGTGGACTGAATCGATCTTCAGAAGAATTTGTTGAACTTGAAGCAACAGCAAATAATCCAAACAAGCTAACTTAACTACTCCCATTTCTGGTCTTCTGACCTCAACTAGCAGATCAGAAGGATAAATATAACAGAATAAAAGAAGGGTGTCAAGAGGGAATGCAAGATGGCATAATAAAGAAAGAAAAAATGAAGAGAGAAGGAATGAAGAAAGGAACATGACAGAAGGAAGAGAGGGAGGGAGAAGGACAATAACAGGTGGTAGTAATTTCAGCAAATTCCTGAAACAATGGAAAGAAAACTGCAAGATGCTTCTTCTTTCCCCAGCTTGTACCCCATATTCTATAAAACTCCTCGGCTTAGCTATTTAAAGGAAAATAGAAGTTAAAACCAAGTTGTAAGGGACAATATTTAAAAATGATAATTCAGCTTATTTTAAATCTAGAGTTTTTTCCTAATTATTTTTGTAATGATTCTTTTAAATACCTTTGTTATACCTTTATCTCTAAAAATAAAAATTCTGTGAGATATTAATTCTCACAGAAACTATAGACCTTATAGAGGTTATAGACTTTGAAAACTGAAATAATTGGACTTCTGGTGCTAGATTGCAATTAGGTATTATTTAAGTATCAACTCCATCTAAAAGTTCTGCATGTGATTTCAGGGAGGAGATGATATTGCTAATAAGAGATTCAGAGTGTGTCAGAAAATCAATGAAGTAAACAATTCTATAAAATTGTTTTCTAAATTATGTTTAATTTCTAGGGGAACAATAAACAAAACTCAACACTAGAATAGAAAAAGAAACATATCTTATTTTTTGGATCCAGAATAACTAAATAGTACAATTTTTGTAAAAGACCGGAAAAAAATGTTTGTTATGCTCAGTTTATTTCAGTTTTTAGTAAAAACCTAAATGCATTTGTTAACAAATTCATAGTCCCTTTGATGTATATTTTTTTGTGTGTAAAGATAAACTAGCTTTGGCTAAGTTTACATTATGAACTATTAGCAAAAACTAGAGGAATTTACATATACTGAGAGGACAAGTAAACAACATCTAACAACAAATTAAAATAAAACACTTACCAACTATTTCATGATCAACGTGGTTTAGATATTTTTTACATATATATGGCAAGGTGGACTCACAATCCCGACTCCTCCAGGCACTTGGCATAAGCAAACTAAATGTTCCACAATGATATTCAACAAACGGCTCAAAATTTACCTCTGAAAATACAATGAGTGTGTTTAATGTTAGAAGTAAAAGCAGTTAGTATAATACATATTGAAATGTACTTTTAGCATCAAGGGGACAGCCCTTCTATTTGTCATATATAGTAGATTTTATAAGATGTTATATCTCATAAGATGTTGTCTATGATTTTGCAGGCATGTCAATTAAATGATTTCCCAAAGATTCCAAAAGACCCAATTTTATTATTTTAAAGTAGAGAGATATTTTGGAATTTGTTGCTATTTTTAAAACAGCAGACTGAAATCTTGGCTTGCACTCAAACCTTCCTGCAACTTTGGCTAAAAAGCTTGTTTCCTTGGTCTCTATTTTCTTGTTTGGAAAAGCTTGCCTTAAAGGAATTCAGTCAGGCTAAAAGATGTTTATAAGTTACTCTCACAAAAGCATGCCCTATGTGCATGGGAAATGCTGCTGTGTAAGGCTGCAGGATGATGCCACATGATGAAGGCAAAGAAAACACCGCGGGTACCTGCGCTCCAATTCAGGTAGTTGAGCGGCGTTCCATCAGACCACTGCCAGCCAGCGTGTTCATCCAGCTGATTGAGACCGATCCACACCTCCACTGCTTTACTGCTCACGTGCTCTGAAATGAAAATTATGGAGCTTCAAAAAAAAAAATCCAGTGTTACGTGTCTTTCTTGCTCTCCTATTCCTGAATCATGGAGTCAGAAATTAATCCCAGTCAATGACAGGAAAGGTGCACAGAATGCACATGGTGCTTCTGAGTGACAAAGCAGGTTCCCACCATCTTGAGAAACAGAGCAGCTCACTGACAGCTGTTTTTCAACTGTGAAAGCTTCACGCAAGTACCTCGAAATGTCGCCTTTCAGTGGCTGTCAATCTAGACAAGGGTGCAAGATTGCATGCTTGAGGCCATCTTACTTGAGTGAGCTCATGAACTTAAAGGTTTCATAGGGTGGAGGAGCAGGTCTGCAGGGTCGCTCCCAGAAAGTAAACAGAGGCACATCTTCAAAGCTAAAAAGGTGTGCTGAAGGCCAGGCGCAGTGGCTCATGCCTGTAATCCCAGCATTTTGGGAGGCCGAGGTGGGCAGATCACCTGAACTCGGGAGTTCAAGACCAGCCTGACCAACATGGAGAAACCCCGTCTGTACTAAAAAGACAAAAACAATTTGCCGGGCGTGGTGGCGTATGCCTGTAATCCCAGCTACCCGGGAGCCGAGATCACGCCATTGCACTCCAGTCTGGGCAACAAGAGCAAAAAACTCCGTCTCAAAAAAAAAGTGTGCTGAGATAAGTAGATCAGCGAGGGGTGTACAGTGTGAGAGCCACCAGGAGTTGGGTGGCTCAACAAGAGGGACCAGAGTGTCTCAAGGGATCCCTAGCAGGTCGGGACCTAAGGCTGTGTGCAGTGCAAACTGGAAGCTGCTTCCACAGCTTGAGGCGGGAGAAGATTTTATGGCAGGCTGGCTCTTAACCAGACCACTACAACTCGCGGTTTAATGCAATATAATTTTTGTTATGGATACTATGAATAAAAACATGCATTGATGTGCAGAAAAACATAGTTATTAAAGTTACAGAATTATGGAAATTTCTCTTTAGTTTTTCTTTTTGTGCACCTACATTTTAAACATTATTCCAGAACAAATAGGTACTACTTGTGCAGTAAAATTTTGGAAGGGGGGAAAAAACCAAAACCTAGTGTCAGAAACTTAATGAAAGTGGCAATTTTGTGAAACTTTGAAATGCTGCCATTTACTCATCTAATCTACAAAGGAGAGCATTGTTCTCTTACGATTCATCTGCTTCAGAGCCCAATTTATTTTTAGTCAGATACAGGGGTCCTGCCTGAGATCAAGACCCTGATGGATAAGGGTTATAAACAGGGTGACCGTATGCCCCAGTTTTCCTGGAAAACTCATGGTTCATGCTGCTAGTTCCAGAATAATTATTAATCACAGTCCCTTTTACTCTCAAAAGAATCTCAGTTTGGATGATAGATTGTATGATTACCCAGGTTGTGAAGGTTATTGTAGTCATATAACAAGGCTGCAGCATCCTCAGTGATGAGATATTTCAATACAATTGTGCAAAACTCAAAGAGCCTAACCCATTCAAGAAAAGAGAAAAAGGTGCTTTATAATTTTGAGACTCCCAGAAATCAATAAACAGAACAGCATACTATACATGGGTTTCACCCTTCCAAATTTCTGCGGCATTCACATGGAATCTCTTTCTAATGTCCATTTGATTATTCCTTTCAATATCACCATTTGATTAAATCATTTAACAGGTCTTATGATGATAAGAAGTGAAATGGATTGACAAAGCAGGGAGAAATTTTCACATTTCACATTCAGACAAGTGCCAAGTGATATTTTAAAATCAAGTTAAAATATTAAAACATTAATTATTCTTATCTTAGAATTGTTTTGAATACCCATTGTGCAATTGTTTTAATAATGAACATAAAAAATCATTGTGCAATTTATAATCCGTGTCTGGAGGCACAAAAAAACCATCTATTTACCTTTAGGACTAAGCTGGCTCACAATACTGTAATAAGAAGCTTGAATTTAAATTCCTTTGGATATTTCTTGGCATTTGTGACAGCTTAGATAATTCCTTATACCATAGTATATGTTCACCAGAATTAGCAAGAAACATTAGACTATTTTCATAATTAAAAAATACCTTGGTTGGAACAGGTTTCTGCCTTTATGAATAGACTTCTGTTTTTCCAAACATTTCCCACAGACTAATTATAGAACTGAGGTAGTTAAATCAAAGTTCCTGACATGTCTTATTTTTTAAAATTGTGATTCAAATTTGATGCATAAGTCCAGACCATCTCATGAGAAATCCTGGCAGTTAAGATAGATAATTGTAATTCATAAATGGTGTGCAAACTTTTACATAAAGACCATTCCAGGCTTATAATGATTTTGAAAATTGATGTTTTCCTGCACTATGACTTACTCAAATCAAATTCAATAATAATTTCTGACTTCTGCATAGCTGTGGGGAAAGGGTGGGCACGCATTGTTCATTTGTTGCTTACAATCCTTCTGGAAGATGTTAATGACTTTCAAAAGCTTGAAAATGTGCTTACTTTTCCATCCAGTGAACCCACTTCTTCAAACTTATAGAGAAATAATTGGGGATGTATGCACAAAGATATGTGCAGGGATGTTTTATAATATCAACAAATAAATAACAAAACAAATAGTTTTATCAATATCTCTAAGGAAAGGAGATTCAATCAATATATTACCACTAACCTATACTACTTTGTAACCATTAAAAATTATAACTTAGATCTATATTTATAGATCCAGGCCAATGTTCCTTATATATAGGTAAACAAAATAATTAGATTACCGAATTGTGTACACAGATGTTGTTAAATGGTTAAAACACACTGAGTGTTTATTATGTGTGCCAGGCACTTTTATAAGATTTCACCTATATTAAAATATGTAATCTGCACCAAGGATTTGCATTTTTATTACTTCCACTTGGTAGGGGGGAAATTGAGGCACAGAGTGGTTAAATCAGTTGCTTCAGCAACCGTGGTACTCAAGTAGTAGAGGCAGGATTGAAACCCAGGCAGGTGGCTCCCTGCTCCTAACCACTATGCAATAGCTGCCATGTTTTTATTTATTTTAATTTTTTATGTATGTGTTTTGATATGCAGTCTCATTCTGCTGCCCAGGCTGGAGTGCAATGGTGCAATCTCAACTCACTGCATCCTCCACCTCCCAGGTTCAAGTGATTCCCCTGCCTCAGCCTACTGAGTAGCTGAGACTACAGGTGTGTGCCACCACATAGGGCTAATTTTTGTATTTTTAGTAGAGAGGGGGTTTCACCATGTTGGCCAGGCTAGTCTTGAACTCTTGGCCTCAATTGATCCACCTGCATTGGCCTCCCAAAGTGCTGGGTTTACAGGTGTGAGCCACCGCGCTTGATGGCTGCCACATTTTTGTATAATACCATTTTTTACATATACTATGTATGTACGCATGCCTTCATATATTTTTGCAGAGAAACACAGTTATCTCTGGATTACAGAACTATGGGAACTTTTTCATTTTTTTGCTTTCTATATACCTGAATCTTAAAAATTATTCTAAAATAAACATGTACTATATATGCAATAAAATTGGACAAAAATTGGCATCAAAAACTGTTTATAAAAGTGACTAATTTTGTGATATTTTCTAATATTTCCACAAGTTTTTAAAGAGGTGTATGTACACACATACAAACACATTTAATGTATAAAGGAGAAGTAAGAGGAGAGTTTAGGTGATGAAACATAAGTCTAAGTTTACAATTCTTATAACATATTATTGTCTATACTGTTAGTTAACATATATGTGCTTTTGCTTTTCCCATTAAATTTCAAGGGTTTTTTTGGTACCCACCAGAAGGCCTATGATGTACCTGCACATGGTAAGTGATAGGTAAGATCTTGTTCATTTAATAAAATACTTAATGATTTATTAATGAAAATGGAATAATTAAAATCTCCAGAAGAGAAAAACTAGCCCTTAAATTTAGAAATCTTCCTGATGTACTTGTTAGAATTGCCACTCTCCTGGGTCCCTTGCTGTGGCTTCAAATTCTCTTTTCCAAGGGAGAGAAAATAAAAAAGACATCATTGGATGTCAAATGGAATCACTCAGCATTCAAGGAAAAATTTTGGTTTAGAGTTTTGGGCCATATTAAGGAAAGAAAAATATTTTTTAAGAAATTTTTTCAGCATATATTTTTGTACATGTGAAAACAGTTAACAACAGCCTTTTTATTGTATCAGTATCAATGTGCATCATCCACCTACTTACCCTTTATGAAATTTTCTTCAGTTTCATCTGTAATACTTAATAGTGCACCTCCTTGCATCTGGCATGAAGAATGTGCCTCACTCCAAGAGAGAGATGAAAGCAGGTTGAACTGGTAGCAAATGTGTGAATTGAGGTCCTTCTCCCAAATAGCATCACAACTTACTTCTGCAGAGGCTGGAAACAATGTCCATTAAAAACATCCAAGTCTTATTTTATCTATGCAGCAACATATTTCTAAGAGGAATCTGAATGGAATTATTCCATCTTGCAATCTCTAAAACTTTAGTGCCTAATCTATTCTTGATTAGGTCTTTATGATAAAATCTGCATTGTCATTGCTAAGATATGGTCAAACTCTTTCATGATTTACCTAAGAAAATACAAGAAATCACCAATGAAAAAGTTATGATCCTTTCCAGAATAATAATAGAAACCAGTTTTAAGAGGAGATGGAAGCGAAATATTTGTGAAAATAAGATCTGAGTTATTTTGTCATTTGGAACTTTATATTGAAAACCTGTGACTTTAAATGTTCATTTCAGTAGATACAAATGTTATTTCAAAAGGCATTTCTCCCCAAATACAAAATGCTAAAATATAAGGTTACAGTATGAGTCAATAGTAAACACAAGTTTTCAAATAAATATCAAGCACAGGAACACTGACATAAGTTTAAGAAAGTTCTTTTAGCCAAGAGGAATAGAAGCAAGATCCACCTGGAAGACATTGGCTGAATGTCTTTAGTGCATAGTATGCTCAAAAGTAAATTTAATAGAGTATGAAATGTGGAGCTGAAGTCCGAAATTTCTTGAAACAACAGAAAATTAAACCAAGTTTGGGTGCTTTCGCTAGCATGTTAAATCAAACTCTGAGGTGAACTAAGTAGCCACAATAATGACCGGAAATCAAACTCAGACAATGTCAGAATGTAGAAAATGTGAGCCATACTGCAGCATGACTGAAAATGACTGACAGGCAACCAGCAGGCATCTAGGACAGCCTTTCTTAAAGTGTGGTTCCCAAAGTAAGACAATTTCAAGAGGCTCCCAAGGAAAATCTGAGACACAATGCATGCACAGCATTCTCTGGGAAATTCACAATGCACATTAGCATATTCAAGGCTCTGAGAAGTTTTGTAATAAAGATGTTTAATTTTAATTCAGTGTCCTTGAAACTTATTTGACAATAAAACCCTTTCTGTTTGTTTTTTCCTTCTGATAACACTTAGTTTAGATATTCCTCTTGTGAAATGTGGACAGTTTATTTTCATGTCTGGTTGCAACACACATTACAGAGGTTTTTAAATCACATATAAATCTAAGGTTGTCTGTAGAGTTTCCTGACTGATACATGTGTTTGTAGAAGGATCCAAGATTAAAGGAAGGCAGAAGATAAGGCTATCAGCAAGTAAAACTGAAGGAAGCAAGACCCTATTGCTACAAAAAGAGAAAGAAAGAGGCCGGGTATGGTGGTTCATGCCTGTAATCCCAGCCTTTTGGAAAGGTGAGGCAGGTGGATTGCTTGAACCTAGGAGTTCAAGACCAGCCTGGGCAATGTGGTGATTTTTTTTTTTAGTGCTGACATGACACTACAAATAGAAAATTCTACACTTGACCCCATGTGACGGGTTTTGGTCAATACTTTGTTTCATGCACAAAATTATTTAAAATGTTGTATAAAATTACCTACAGCCTATGGGTATAATGTGTATATAAAACATAAATGAATTCTGTATTTACACTTGGGTCTCATACCCAAGAAATCTCATTATGTATATGCAAATATCCTAAAATCAGAAATCTATAACACTTTGGGGCCCAAGAATTTTGGATGAGGGATACTCAGCCTGTATAAAAGTTTGTACTTCTGCACAGACAGACACAAGTCCTTTCTCTGCTTCTCTAGGTGGACTGCATGTCACTCCATGAATCCCATTTGAAGGTTGTAAGTAACGGAATGAAAATGTTGTCATGGTCACTGCGATGTGCTGCTCTCAGTATTAAGCCTCCTTTAAGGATTGCATTGGCAGAAGAGTCTCTGCCCAATGTCACTCTCCCTTCCCAAGGGCAGCTGGCAGACCATGACGGTCAATGTAGTGACATACTTAGACCCCCATCCCAACAAGGGGCAACTCTGAAGGGTCACCCCGGCTTGAGACCTCTGAATAGAGTTGGCCTAGGGGCCGTCAGGCCTGCATCAGAGCCTGTTCTGTGCACTCCTGCTCTCTTCCCTTCCTTTTCACATGAACTGATCCTGAAGGGGCTCCCCCAAAAAACTCCCACATGTTAACCTTTGGCTTGGAGACTGCTCCCCAGGGACCTACCTGCCACAGGCTCCCACCTTGACCTGGGCATTCGCACTTATATATAATCTCTTTCCAAGCCACAGAAAATGCAAGATCAAAGGCTGTTGTCTCAGGTATGTTTATTATTCTTGAAAAATTCTAATTTAAGGGCTATAATACTATTGTCATATTCTTTACATCTTTGACTGACTTTATATCATTTCTTCTATTGCTAAACTATGAGCTTCTTCAGGGGAGCAGTTGTGTCATTTATAACTTTGGGTCTCCTATTATGTGATGAGAGAGTACCAAAATCTTTTGCCTGGTGTTATAAATAGGTGATTTCCCACCTCCTAAACTACACCTCTCTTTTAATGAACTGAAGTGCATTTGTAGAATGACTCGGGAAGTGTTTCATCCTTTTCTAATTCCCCACTTACCCTCTCATCCACTCAATCTGGCAATTAAGGTATATCTTGTTAAGGCCATCAGTGATCCCTGTGTTGCCAAATTCAGCAAATGTTAGTTTGAGACTTTATCAACAAGGCCCTTCATCAGCACTTGGCAGGCCGAGTTCCCTCTTTGTGCTGATTTACTCTTTTCTGGACTTCCCATGCCTGGATTCCCTTATACCTCCCTGGCTGCCCCCTTTCAGTCTCCTTTGCTGATTTATTCTTCTCTACTCAAATTAAATGTTGGAGGCCTTAAGGCTTGGCCCTGAGCCCCATTCCTTTCTATTCTACACACGGCTATCTAACTTGTTTTCATGGGTCCATTTCCCATAACTTCCAAATACACAGAGACCATTACATCTACCTGCCTAGTCCACATCTCTACCTAACTGACTCACATGTAGCATGTGCCAACCTGAATAGTACTTTTCCAAATGTATATCTCCATAAACTTAGCTAAGCGAGTCAGAAACATGGAGTGTGAATTAATGTCTCACTTTCTCTCCTAGCCTCCAAGTTCTTAGTAGTGAGAAGTCCTACTCCTGGTTAAAAACCTATATGTGATTCTTAAGGCCTGACCATAGGCAGTTACAAAGGCTTTACCCGGCAGGCTTATGGGGGAAAGCTGCCTCCACCCCAGATTTGGTGCAGAGCTGGCATACTGCAGTTTTTAAAAAGATTTATAGTTATGGGTCCAGGCCCCTCAGGCCCATTGTGCTCTGTGTTATTTGCATTTCTGGTGCAGGCGCCTTCAGTTCCTAGGTCTCTTTCTATGTGAAGCTGTGGGCCAAGGTCCTCTTCAGATGCCTCTGCTGAGGCTGGGATCAAATGAAAGAGTGGAATCTTGAAGACACATTTTCCCCATTCTGACTCAGTGCTCAGTACTTTTTGTCTCCTAGCTCTTCCCCTCATCTTACCCCAACCCAGAATCTATAAAACTGAAAAGCCTTTGTTGTTGTTGTTTAGGGTTCTCTCAACAGTGAGCTGAACTGAACTCATGTCTGTGCCGATCCACTAACCCTTGATGCCTGTGCTATTCCCTGGGTAAAAATGGAAGTGAGGGGCGAGGTGGGGGAGGTGGCAAATTCTTTTAGACTCTTCCTTACACCATCTAGTGAGTGATCAACAGCTTAACGATTTCATTTTTGGCTTGTTGCTAATCAGCTACTCCAACACCTGACAGCTCAGCTGTCTTTAGCCCAGCTAAGCTCCTGATAACTAGGTCCTGTTCAGTTTGACAACAAATTAGATTTTCAATACATTCACATTTCTCCAAGCCCCTGGCTGTCACCCAACTGAAGCCACCACTACTCCTGGACCAGACTGTTGTTCCAACTTTCTACCAAGTCTCCAGGATTTGCATATTCCTCCCTTCCAAGTCATTCGGTCCAATGGAGCCAGAGTAATCCTTAAATGTTTTTTTAAAGATTATCATCACTCTCCTGCTTAAAAGCCTTTTATGGCTTCCTTTTGCACTTAGAATTAGGTAAGTCCTTACCTTTATGACACTTTGAACTATCTAGCCTGTCTATGAATTGGGCTCTATCTTTTCAGGGTGTCTTCTCTCTTCTTCAACCACTGTACTCTTGCCACATTGTCTTTCTTAGATGGCAATAAGCTCTTCCCTCTTCAAACCTTCAGATATTTGGCCAGTGACATGCAGTCAGCCTGGACAGGTGGGGGTATTTTTATCACTGACGTTGTTTAGAATTGTTAGAGCATGTGCGTGCTGAATCAAAAGCACGCTGTTTTTTACTTGGTTTTATTATTAGTATTAGTTTTATTTAAACCGTATACCCCCTTTATTGTGCACAACCCATGCTGACCACTCCCTTTCCCTTTGCTTTGCACATGGCTGCACCATGCTTCTCTGAATGAATATCTCATTTCCCCACTCTCCATCTTGACAACTTCTACTCATCTCTTGAGTTAGAGCTCAAATACAACTTCCTTAGGAAAGTCTGCCATGATTCTCAATTTTAACATTGGATTCTCACTTATAATACTGTATTTTCCTAAGGTAGAACCTACGATAAACTGTAATTATATATTAATTTGGGCATTATACTTGAATGTGAATTTCATCAGGGCAGGCACTATGACTTTCGTATTTCACATTCACAGTTATAACCTCAGGAGCCAGAGGGGTCACTGGCACATAGTAGGTGTCCAATACAAATTTGTTAAATGAATAAATGGATGAATAGTCTGTGGAAATGGAAGTCCAGGTCGGACAAGAGGAGAGAGTGTCCTGAAGAAGGAAAGCAAAGTGAGAAGGCATAAACAATTCTTTTTTTTTTTTTTTGAGACAGAGTTTCCCTCTTGTTGCTCGGGCTGGAGCACAGTGGCGCGATCTCTGTTCACTGCAACCTCCACCTCCCCGTTCAAGTGATTCTACTGCCTCAGCTTCCCGAGTAGCTGGGATTACAGGCCTAAGCCACCACGCCAAGCTAATTTTATATTTTTAGTAGAGAGGGGGCTCCTCCGTGTTGGTCAGGCTGGTCTCGCACTCCTGACCTCAGGTGATCTGCCCTCCTTGGCCTCCCAAATTGCTGGGATTACAGGCATTAGCTACCATGCCCAGCAATAATTCTTTTGCGAATCCTTTTTATATAGAGGATGAGAGAGAGAGGTGTTTTCAGGAGGCATAAATTGGGATGAAGGAATTGCATTATTTTTAAGATTTATTTTAAGACTCGCACAGGTCTAACTGCTAAGGACAAGGGCCCAGCAGAGTATGGGTATGCACTGGAATCACCTAGAAGTTTGTTAAAACTTCTAGAATTTCTGATATGATGGTCTAGGGTGGGACTGCTACTATGCATTTCTAGCAAGCTCCCAGGGAATTCCGACGCTGATTGAATAGGGATCACACTTTGAGAACCACTGAGATACAGGTTGGAGAAGGTTGGATGAGGAGCTCCAGAGCCCAGGTGAGGAGACTTGGCCCACATAGAAGGAGGAACATCATCCTTATGCATAGAAGGGAGGAAATAAAGATGGGCACAGGCACACGTAGGCTTTAAGATTAGGGAGCTAGAAGTTGCCAAAACTGCCTTTCTGATGGATCTTTTTGCCATTATGAGGTAGAAACTGAGGTAACCTGATGAGAATTAGGAAGGAGATTGGAAGGTAGGGTTTGAACTTAAAGGAGAATAGAGATGTTGGCAGCAACACTGTGGGGTATGAGAGAGCTGCATGACAGAACCATATAGCATTGCTGATCCATGTTGAGGGCTCAGGTGAGAGCGACCATACATTTATTGTATCAATCTGGTTGTTTTTCTTTTTTTGTGGTGGTGGGGGGGCAGAGTCTTGCTCTGTCACCCAGGTTGGAGTGCAGTGGCACAATCTTGGCTCACTGCAACCTCCACCACCCATGTTCAAGAAATTCTTCTGCCTCAGCCTCCTAATTAGCTGGGATTACAGGTGTGCACCACCACGCAGAGCTAATTTTTCTATTTTTAGTAGAAATGGAGTTTCACCATGTGGGTCATGCTGGTCTTGAACTCCTGACCTCAAGTGATCTGACTGCCTCAGCCTCCCAAAGTGTTGGGATTATAGGCGGGAGCCACTGTGCCTAGCCAAAATTTGCTCTATTATGTCACTCTAGCAACTGATCAGAATTATATAAAAATAAGGTTCAAGGATAAACATATCATTCCACAGGTAGGTACCCTAAAAATATCTCAAATTAACTAAGTGTGACTGCTAAGAGAGATATACAAAGAGAGATATACAACTAAGAGAGATATATAACTAAGAGAGATATACAAATAAACATACAGTATAATTGCAGCTGTTTAAGGCATACAACCTAGAAAGGCCCAGAATTGCCTCTAAACAAACCCAGAGAAAAATTCCTGTGTGTCATCCTTATTGCTGAAGATGTTTTATTACATCCTTCACTGCTGTGTATGTGTTTATGAATACTAACTTTAAATTTTGCTCATTTACAATAAATTTTTTTTCCAAACAAAGGTAGCATCATTTTAGATTGAGATATTTTTTAAAAAAAAAACCTCCCACATAAGAAGGGTGAGATACAGCAGTGAAGACCTTTACTTTATTCCACTCACTCTTCCCTGTGCTATCCACTTGTTGACCTCATGGAAAGAGCTATTGGCGTGCTCAGGTTTCAATCTCTGACATGTCATTTTGAGTTATATTGGCTACCAGGAGCCAAAAGTAATGAGAAAGGAAGAAAACTGGCACCGAACAAATAAACATGCTCTCTGCTGGTTGTGGTAAAGGTCAGGAGAGCTGGAATCTGGCAGGCTGTCAAGTGGAGGAAGCTTCTGAGTCATAGGAGGCTGAACAGATAGATAGTCTCAGGAATGGAAAGCCCAGAGCACCACTGAACCCAGGCTTCCACTGGGAAACTGTCATTGCTTATAAGTGACAGAGATTGGTGGCAGGGTTCTTTTCAGAATCTTACGGAGAATGCCGTAGGTTTTTTTTTTTTTTTTAATTTAAAGTCCCTAGTACTAGAGTCGTGTGACGTATGTGTTAACTTTATTAGTATTTGTTCATTTATTTGGTTTTAATAATGACATCTGTTGGGGATAGAAAAGGAAAGAGAAGAGATGATGTAAATAATATGACAATAATAAAAATAATATGAAATCTGGTTCAGGAATTCAAGGTGTGTAGGGATTACATGCATACACACCTACATGCATACATTTAGATTCAGATAGAGAAGGCTGGTGATTTGACAGTTATAAAATAACAAAATGCTTTCATGCTGGTTGGTGAATAGCCATTGTTGCCCCAGGCTTCCCTGCTCCCCACCCCCCACATTCCAGCAGCTAAGGGGTTAATATCAGCAGTGGGCCTCTAGAATTCCCAACCCCCACACTAAGGTCTCCACTGTAAGGTCTCCCTACCATATTGATGGTTAAATGTATTGACATTACCCCTGTATATAGATGTGTATTGCATAGAATTATCTCCATATTATTAATTGCCTGAGGAAGAATGATCTGAACCATGGTGACCTGGGGCACTTTTCAAAAATGCAGATGCTTGGGTTTTACATACTAAACCCACTGCATCTCTGGAAGATGGGCCAGGTTATGCATTGAAACTATCTCCCAGGTGATTCTAGGGCATTGTCTCAAATATAGTCTGCATATTCTGGCATACAGCAAATCTGTCTGTCCTGTCTTAATGCCAAGTTCCTTAAAGGGAGGATCCTAAGTCCTAAAACTCTTGGCATTCACCACTATGCCTAGCTTAGTGCTTGTTGACTGACAACAGAGAGGAGAAATCATCTGTTCAGAAGTGTTTGCTGAAAAGATAAATTGGGTTTGATGCTGCTGTTGTTGCTGCTGCTGCTGCTGGCTGCAATTGTTAACCCTTATGAGTGGTTTACTGTGTGTCAGACATTATGAAAAGTGCCTTGAATGCCTCATTTAATGGAATTGCGCAATAATCCTAATAGTTACTGCTATTATCTACATTTTATGGCTGAAGAAACTGAGACTTAGATGGAGGGAGCTTCCCAAAATTTCACTGTTGCAAGGAAGCAAGATTCCAATCTTGGCCTGATTATTTCAAAGGTTATACTGTTTCTTATTTACTAAACTGTACTGGCTCTTGGATTAAAAAACAATTCTACAGATACTTTATAAATCAGATTCTTTGGAGTTAATCTCATTAATTTGCCTTTGCTTCAAATTTATTTGTTGCATTTTATATATGCAGAGGAGAGACGGGCATGGGAGATGAAAAGACTGTAAAAGCTATACTTTCTGACTCACAGAAACCAAGGGGAAGGAAATTGCATATAGAAAGTAGGAGGTATGCATAAATATTCCCCAAAACCTGGGAACAATTGGAAACCTTCTAGCTAAATAAAAATAAAATAATAAAGCACTAACTGAAAAAAAGTTAGAAAACTGCCACTGCCATTGAACCCTGAAAATCAAGTTAAGAAAAAACAAATGAGATTATAGCCAGGAGGTAAGTATTAAGGAAAGCAAGTCAAGAATCCAGTGTCAAGAAATAATGAGGGCAATTGCGATTTTAGAAAGATCATCAAGGGGCCAGCTGGTGCCTGGACTTGACAATGGGCAAGACAAACAGCCTTGATGTGGAGAAATTAAGGCAGCTCATGAGTGGATTGAAAGGCTAACTGGTCTTTATATGAAATCAGGTTTGTTTTCAACTATCCAGCCAGGAAGCTGGGATCAATGAGATCGCAGAGTATTATAATTTGGTTAAAACATCATTATGCACTGAGCTTAATGAAGAATGTCTAATTAACATCTCTTCAATGCATGGAAAAATAATATAGATTAGAATTGTCTTTCCAAGGCAAAAACAAACCCATAATCACAATCTATATTAATACCATCAGGGTGCTTATTTGGACTTCAATATATCAATCCCAGTGCTTTTGTTTAGATACAGATAATTTTTTAATCATCTTTGATTTATTCACGACATATATAGAAAACAAAATTTATTCTTACTGGGATCAGGGCAAAATCCCCACTTTTCATCTCTTTCATAACGGCTTGTCGTGGCACACCACAATAAGTCATCTTCTCGACCTTCACGGGTACATTCATGATGCCACTGGTGGTTATACTGGAAGGGAAATATACACGGCATCCCGTGGGTGTTCCCTTTGATTGTATGCAAATCTAGGAGAAAGAAATGTACGAAGTCAGGTAAGTATGATGTCGGCTTTATCTCTGGAAACTGCTGTATATCTAAAGCATTTTTTTATGGACTGAAACCCTAGTAGGGGCAGATACTCACAACAGCAGAGTGAGCCCTCAGGTCCTCACTGTCTCCTGTCGGTAGAAGTGCTAGACCCAGTGCTGGGCTCAGAAGAAGTGTTGATACATGGTTTGCTTATACATTTATCTACTTGTTTACTTGTTCACTTACTATGGTGAGCTGCCACAGTAACATTCATATTTGTGGATGGATGAGAAGAAAACTTTAATGGAGATTTACCTTCATAGTACCTTCAGTCCCCAAATGCATCAGCCATTAGCATCTAAAGCTCAATAGATACATAGGCATTTATTAATTTATTTATTCAATAAATATTTATTGAGCATTTAATGTACTCAGTACTGGGGATGCAACAGTGAACAAACCGGCAAGAGTTCCTTCAAGTGGAACTTCTATTCCAGCAAGGAGAGAGATATACAAATAAACATACAGTATAATTACAGGTAGTGATAAGTGCCATGATGAAAAATAAATAGGACAAGAAGACAGAGTGGGGTGTATGTGTGTGTGTGTGTCTGTGTGTGTGTGTGCGTGTGACAGAGGGAGAGAGAGAGAGAAAGGAAGAGAGAGGAAGAGAGAGAGAGGGAGAGATGGGGTGGAGGGGCACAGGGCACTACTTTGGACAGGAAGGACAGCAAAATGTCTCTCTGAATAAGAACTGGGTGACCTGAGAGTGCAGGTCTTCAGAAAAGAGTTGATCCAGCAGAAGAAACAGCAAGTATAAAGAGCTTGAGACAAGAACAGGTGTGGGGTGAATGAAGAAGAGGAAGGAGGCTTTCTGGGAAGGGAAATCACAGACATACTGGAGTGTCAGTGCACATAGGGCTGTCTCCCTGCCATACTGTGGGCTTTGCCCTCTACCCTGAGGATGGGGGCAAGTCTTGGCAGGTTTTGAATGGGAAAGTGATAGGATCAGATGTCCATTTTAGAAGAATCACTGGGGATGCAAAGGGGCAAATGGCCTACACAAGGAGAGGGTGAAGTGAGACGGCTGGCTGGGTGGCTTCTACAGTGGTCTAGAGTGAGATGACCCTGCAGACGTGGCCTGCTGGCTGCTTTCTCAGGATATTGCAATACTTGGTCATTCTTGGTCTTAATCAGGAACCAACAAAAACTTTTCATGACTCAACTGTGGCTGTCAATGGTAGGTCCTGGGGCAAAAGGACCAGCTATGGAGAGCCCCACAATTGGCAGGGGCTGAACTGACATGTCACCAGGCACCAGCCTTAGCGGTCAGGGCTCTTTAGGAACTGTAGGTATTTCAGGATATGTCCTTTTCTTTCAATCTCCTTCCTTTTACTCAGAAGCCTATGTTCCCTAGACTCTTTACCTGCATGCACCATGAGTGTGGGTATGTGACTAAAAAGTTAACATAAAGCAAAATATCCAGTTCCTCTTCAGAACTGTAGATTATTCAGAGTGCTCGCTTTATGTTAGTGAGTCCTGAAAATGCTGGGCCCTTGGTTCTGTCTCTTTTTAATCATTTCTTCTTTAGGAGTTCCTTGCTCTTCTTCCCAGGACTGTACAGAATTCTTAGGAGGATATGCTTTTGCGAAAGCATAATTCTACAGAGCACCATGAGGGGAAGGACTCCACCTGTCCTATAGGCCTTTGTAAATCAGGTGCCTAGCCCAGTGCCTGATGAATGTGTGATGGATTTGACAGCACTGCTGGATAAAAATGTGGGATGAATGGATGGATGGATGGATGAATGGATGTGTGGGTGGATGGATGGATGGATGACAGATGGATAGATGGATGGATGGATAGAGTGAGCTACCAAACAAACCCTGAGGGACAGGTTTGCGATTTTAGAATTTAACCACGTAACTTTATTTATTTATTTTTAATGTTTAGAAAAATAACCGCAGAAAATGAAATTCCTTTCTAAACCATGCTTCCCCACCAACCATGCTTGGTATCTGCCAAATAACCCCTGACAACAGTCTGTCATTTATCTTCAAGTGACTTGCACCATGACAACCACATGAATGGCAGCCAGCGTGAGGAGGCATTGGAGGTGCCTTTGACACATACCTCCAGAGGTGGGAATGGGTTTTTACAACAAGAGAAATGGTGACGGGGAGGAGCGGTTATTATATTTGTCATGACAAAAGTCCTCACTTCAAAGATCTTTTCCTTCCACCTTCCTTTTCACTCTCCCTCCTGCCTGCTTGTTCTTTCTCCTCCTTTCCATTGCTTCCCAGAGTCAGTTAAAAGTTTTTCCTCCCAATACCTTTAAACTCTGAGAAGTTCTGCTTCTTTAGCAGAATTTAGTATGTCCATTCTGAGACTCTCATAACCCTTTTACCATAAGCAAGGAAACAACTAAAATATATTTAGCAGAAGTCCGGTGAGGGTCCAGGCCTTGTGTACTTCTTTCACATAATGCTTTACAAATCTTTATTTATAGGCAAATTTAAAAAATATGTCATTACCCGAATACTTATCTAAATTATTTTTACCTTTGTGTAGATATTCGCAAATGTCTCCACCACCTGACACATAAGAAATCCACTTATGAAAATACTTCCGTGAGGCCACCACAGTGTTATTGCGCACCACCTGGACGGAGTACTGCAGCGGGCCCATGATCATCTTCCTGTTACAGCGCCACCGCAAGGAAACGAGGGTGGAGTCACATTCATATAAGCTCAACGGCTGCTCTGGGGCGGAGGAATTCAGGCCCAGGCAACCGCTGCCTCCTATGTTAAAGAGGCCGTGGTTTGAAACCCATTTCCACAGCATGTGCTTGTTTGCTTGCTTGCAGTTCTCCAGGGTCAGTACCGATTTCCCTGCTTGGATGCATTTCTCGAGGCTCTCGCTTTGGATAACAAATATCCCTTTATCTGAAACAAAAATCAAAGACATGGCAGGAAATTTTCATATAGAATTAACTAGCGTCCTGAGGATATCAGTGTGCATATCTAAGTGCGAGATGCCACAGTTGCCAGCCATTTCCCACAGGTCTGGAGTTGCTGCGCAGGTCCACCTGAAGGGCTTTATTTTTAAAAAACAGAGGAGTTTCTTGGGAAGCATGAAAGGGCTTACTGGAGTTAATGGCAGAGCTCTGATCTAAGACCTCATTGGCCATATAGGAACAAGGGTTACCAGTCAATCCACTCAAGTCTGTTACTGACAGAGAAGATGCACTTGTACAATTGGTTAGAGAGGGGGACTGGTAATAATACTCAGGGCTCCTGGGGAGGAACACTGGGTGCCAATGGATATGACAACACTGGCTTTCTCAGACAAGTGCTTGAACGTTAGGAACACAGCTGCTAAATCAAGCGCCTCTGAATGAAAATCGCTACCATCAAGTTCCTGTAGAAAATCAAAAGGCTATCAGTGAAATGCTGCTTTGTGATCTGATACAGAATTCAATGCTGGTCAGAAAACAATGTTTATCTGGAGTACAAGGGTGGAGGGGGGGATCTCTTAAAGACAGCTTGCTGGGTGGGGCTGGCAGAAGCAGGTAGATGCCCAGGGCACTAGCTATGACACAACACCTCAAAACATGAGAGGTGACGGAGCACCATTACAGTAGCAGAAACCAGAGGCCACATGGATAGGCAGAGATAGCAGGCATTTTGCCACATGCCCCTGAGCTCTCCTCCCTGAAGCAGGAAGAAGGAATTTGGGTGAGTTTCCTGTGAAAAAGCTGGTGGGACCCAGCTGGGGAATACATGTTGGCTGCCAACTTGCTACCTGACTTTACCCAAGTTGCTGGCCTGACTTTACCCAACCTGCTACCTGACTTTATCCAAGTTGCTGGCTTGGGAGGCACCTAGTACTCAGCAGTTATGAATGTGTTTTCTCAGAGGCTTTTTGAAGATGGCAACCGAGTCTCATTTCTCTGGTCTAAGCATGGATGTGCTGGGTGGTGGAAATTCAGTCAGTGCTTGCTGTTGAAACATACTCGCTGCTTTGGCCTCTGGCTGCTGAGGTCACCTCGGTTCATGTTTGGTCAGGCCCAGGTACTCTTTGGTTCTCCATGAGCTAGGCTCCCCTCTTCTATTTTACTTCCTGTCTATTCTTCAGAACTCTGAAGGGACATGATAGGGTTCCCTCGAATGTCTGGGGTTTAGGGAAGGTCATGTCATGGAGGGCAGAACGGGAATGGGCAGAGGTCTTACAGAGGTTTGGGACAGGGCAGGATGGGACTCCTCATGGATCCATGGTGGAACAATGGTTCATTCTGGTAAACGTTTTTGGTTTCTCCAAAGTTAGCCTGAAGAGAACTGATTTGCAGTAACGAAAATCACTTAAGATATTGTTATAAAAAGATTGTCCATGTGTTAGTAAACGCTATATCTCATTTAAGAATTGGTGACCCTACTTATAGCCACAGATTTGAGGAGTTGAAGTAGTTATCAGAGAATTGCTTTGATCACTGTACATCAGAGCAAAAGAGAGGGGGTGGGGTGAGGAAAATAAATGGTTTTAGGGAGATTTCATTTAGATCAGGAAATTTGTTTTCCTAATGAAGGCCTTGTCTGCATGGTTATTAGTAATAGTCATTCAAAGTCAAATCCACCTCTCATCAATGCAATATGGAGTCTGGTAATTAACTTACTGTCCAACTCTCCTTTTCACTTTTCACTTCTGGGTTGAATGTTCACCTTAATTTCTGTTGTAACCTACTAATTACTTTCTAGCTAACCTAGAGTTCCATTAATTTTTCATTAAAGGATTACTTCACTATAATGGGTTTGTAGTTCAGCTTCTACCTAATATATATGTTCAAATATATTGTAAGCTCTGCAACTCACTGACTGCACCTCAGCTTATACACCTCAGATATGTGTGTAGATGACCTAGCTAGTGGTTGAGAGCTTTAGAGTCACATAGAGCCATCACAGACCCGCTGTGTAACTTTGGGCAGATTGCTCCATTTCTGTGAGCCTCATCTTTCCTCTTTAAACTGGGAATATGTATGGTACTGACCTCTTATGGCTGTTAAAAATATTCCATGGAATAACCCATGCAAAGCACACCACAGACCACCATGAAAAGCCTCAGAAAATGGGAGCTGTCATTATTACTTTATCCCTCTGACTTTCTGATTCTTGGTCTATAGCTCCAGCTGTAAATCTGGCTGAACCTACAGAGTGCTAATCTCAGTATCCCTCAAAGCCTCTTACACTGTTAGCACAAAAGTTTATTTCTACTTCAGTTTCTGCAGCACACAGTAGGTGCAGACATTTTAGTTTTAAACAATCCCGAGACACCACGCTATCAGCTTTTATGGAGGAAAAATACTCTCCAAACAAACAGGTAACAAAATATTTGCCTCCTTTGTTCAAATACATGTGCAATTATGAATTAAGAGCCTTCATCTGTTGATTTTCTGCATTACCCACCTGTAAAGTCTACACTGTAGGTTTTTTAATAGAAAAGAGAAAAATACATGGTGTTGATGAGCAATGTGTAGATCGGGGGATGGGTGGTCTGTGAATCAGTGGACATGAAAATTACACAGCTAACATTTGGGGTGAATAAATATTCTATGGGGTGGAGAGATTTGAAACTGTGTCTTGCTCTGTCACCCAGGCTGGAGTGCAGTGGCACTATCATGGCTCACTGAGGCCTCAACTTCCCAGGCTCAGTTGATCGTCTCACCTCAGCCTCCTGAGTAGCTGGGATTACAAATGTGTACCACCATGTGTGGCTAATTTTTTTTTTTTGATAGAGACAGGATCTCAATATATTTCTCAGGATGGTCTCAAACTCCTGAACTCAAGCAGTCCTCCCACCTTGGTCTCCCAAAGTGCTGGGACTACCGGTGAGAGCCACCATGCCTGATCAATAATGCTTTTAAACTTTCAAATTAATCAGTGTTAAGAGAAAAAGAGTGGCAGAAATTGGAACTTCTGTAGTCACACCAGCAATCACAAAAGTACCTTTCCAAAGCAGAACATATTAGACACCCCTAATCCACTGCTGCCTAATTTTGGGGTGCTACTTACATTTCCATGCCAGCTGCCTTTAGGAAATAGCTTTAGAAAAGTTATTCAGAATGTGCCATAGGCAAGTAGCTCTGGTTCACCAATAATAATCAACATGTTACCTCCAAATATACCAAGTTAAAAAATGACTTGAGCCCATTTTTCCATTAAGTTATGATAGAATATGATCCGAGTACTGTTAATCTCCATAAATTCACTGAAGAGAAAATGATTACTTTCAAATAGACTGTGAGGAGACTTAAAATAGGTATCAATATTCTGATTGTTATTATATGTACATAATGTCTCTAACAAAACTATAATGTGAAATTAAGCCACCAATCCTTAGTGTGTGTAGTGGCTGGATTTTTTAAAAGATGGAAATCAAACATGGGAGGAATCAAGATTGATTATACATGTCAAGGACATCAGTTCTGCTTGAACACTGATTAAGTGATTAATGAAGTACTGCCAGAATTACTAAATCTCATTTCAGGAAAATGTTATTATACTTCCCTTCATAATTATAAGTTTAGGAGGAAAAATGAGATTGATTTATTAGAAGTAACTTATAAGCTAATTTCTATCCTTTTTTTTTTTTTTTAATAAGATTCAAGGAAGACAGTGGTTCTACTTTCTACTTCTGAGTTCTTTAGGAGATCATTTCAGATCCACTCTTTGGCCCCATAAGATAACGTGTGCTCTTCTAAGGAGTGGGAGGAGAATGTTTCATTGATCAACTGTTAAACTGAAATTTAGGGTATTACCTTTATGACTACATATGGAACATTCATTCATTCAACTAGCTTTCATTGGCTGCCAGCTACTTCACAGACACTAAGATGCTAGAGATAGAGAGAAATTATTTGCCTAAATATCTGTCCTTTGAAACTGTATATATTTGTTCTGGAATCATGGGAATTTGCATAGCTAATGAAGAGAGTTCATCAGTTCCAAAGAAAACATTAAAATTGCATTTAAAATAAGCCCTTAATGGTGGGACCCGGTGGCTCACGCATATAATCCCAGCACTTTGGGAGGCTGAGGCAGGCAAATCACTTGAGATCTCTACTAAAATACAAAAATTAGCCAGGTGTGGTGGCGCATGCCATATTTCCAGCTACTTGGGAAGCTGAGACACAAGAATAACTTGAACCCAGAAGCAGAGACTGCAGTGAGCTAGGATTGTGCCACTGTGTTCCAGCCTGGGAGACAGAGCTAGACAGTGTCTCAAAACAAACAAATAACAGCAACAACAAAAACAAAATAAGCCCTTAAAAACAAGTGATACCACTTATAAGTGGGAGTTGAACAATGAGAACACATGGACACAGAGAGGGGAACAACACACACTGAGTCCTGTGGCAGGGGCAGGGAAGGGAAAGCATCAGGATGAAGAGCTAATGCATGAAGACAATGGGATGATAGGCGCAGCAACCCACCATGGCACACATTTCCCTATGCAATAAACCTGCACATCCTGCACATGTATTCCAGAACTTAAAATAAAATAAACAATTATTTAAAAAGCTTTAAGAACCAAGTGATAACAAATAAGAGAAAGAAAACAAACCAAAATTTAAGACACTGAACTGGCTCTTCAACTGATGTCACATGAGAGGTGGACAGGACCCCTCAGCGTCACCAGACTCTGAGCAGGGAGTGTGCACACACACATACTTGGCCACTTTCAAGGGAGGACAAAGCAGGGCAGTGCTGGAAGGAAGACGGGTGTGGCAGAGGAGACTCACTCCACCCATAAGCCCAGAACCATGAACTTCAGAGCTGGATGGAATTATAAAGATTATTTAATTGAGCCATTCTTTTACTTTTTTTTTTCCAAATCCATTTTTTGTCTTAGAAATTTTATATCTGTCTACTCAATTAGGACCATATTCAGT